TATCCAGTGAGTACTGGAGTCTCTCCCTGGGGTTAAATTAGCTGGAGTGAAAACTGGCCATTCACTTTCATTACATGCAAGTGTTAAGAATGCAAAGATTTTCAACTCCACTCCCCTATATATTCATTGAAAATCGCGGTGATAATTCTTATTGTCCTTCTTTCAAGAAATATCATTTCTCCCATCGCAAAGTGCATTTTGAAGAGATAATGGGACTTTACAGAGTTGCTACCTGGTAATGCTGCATTGTGCTGCACTCCTGAGGATAGTTGATAGCCTGAAACTGTGGTTCCTCCCCCGGTGCTACCAGAACTTGTTGACCCAGACACAGCATATGGGGAATAACTCTGAGCATAATAGCTAGCATACTGCGAGGCGGCTGCTGCCGCAACCTGGTGCCCAGCATACGTATTCCCATATCCACCATAGTCCAAGCTCTGTAAGTAATATTCATATTTCTGTAAAACAGATAAGGAAGTATAAACACTACACTGTCACATTCATATACAGATGTTAATGTACCTTTCTAATTTCAGTCTTCCAAAAGATATAAAATATCTTTACATCATTATTCAGACTCTACATTCCCAGCAATGTCACAAGCACGAAAAAGATTAGCATCTAAAGCGGCCCATCCACGTACGAGTCCGGCTCGGCTCGGGTTCCATCGAGCCAAACTCGTTTGTGGGTTGGGTGTCACGAGGCGAGTCTGCTGTGCATGTGTGGTGAAATATATCCAAGCCCGGCTCACGAGTCAAGCTCGCCGAGCCAGAGTTGCAAGTCAGACTCGTACGTGGATGGGCCGCTTAAGACAAACTCTTCTACATCTAAGCTGGTTAATCACATGCAGTGCACATGTTACCAGCAGTAACAGAGCTCACAATCTTATCATATGCTAACACCACGGAAATCTAAAGTACGTTACTTCAACGGAGTTGAATGCAATGATGAGAATGTGGTACATGCATTCACAAATCTGCTACTGAAAGGAAGAAACAGCACCATTATTTCACTGTATAGGAAATGTTATTCCCCACTTAATGGTACCTGCACCTTGTCGTCGTCGTGGGGCTTGAGCACCTCAGTGATTCTAAGAGTTATGCTGGCGGTAGCATAGCTACTGGTAGGGCCTCCCTAGCCAGATTGGTCGAGGGGGAGAGGTCAGACTAAGACAGGTACCCTGGTCCTCCAGGTTGGGGCTTGGTCGCAAGGCTAACAACCTTGCACCGTAAAAAGGATGATGTTTCGAAACCTAAACCTCGAACAGACGGACCTAACAGAAGGACCGAATGGAAGAGGAGAATTGAGGAGGCCACGGACCGAATACGAACCGGAGAGCCATAGAACAAGAAGAACGAAATGTTATTAAGAGGATAAAACTTGGCACTGAAGCATACACGCATTTTGATACAAGTATTTCAGACGTTAACTCTACTTCCACCTCAAGGTGAGCTACCATTTCTTTTTTGAGATTAATTGCAAGAAACAGGATTAAACCTAATTTCCACACAAGAAGCAAACTGTAGCGTGACACATTTTTCAGTAACATGAGTTACGACACACATACCTGCTGCGAGGAAGGGAAGTTCTGCGAGCCAGCCGAAAAGCCTGCCGCCGCGGACGCTGTACAGTTATAACCCGCACCATACGAAGCGTACGATGCCGTCTGTCCAGCAGAGACTCCACTCTGCCCACTGTGATGTGAACTACTCCCTGAACTGGATCCGAACGCCGTACTAGATGTGGCGTATGGGCTAAGGTAGCTGTTGGAGGCTGAGCCTTTACACTGCTGATTTAAGCCACGTGCACCTGAGTAAAAACACAAGGATAAATTAATCAAAATTATAATCCTCACTGTTCAGATCTGACACTTCTGGCTACAAACATTGTAGTTTATCAGTCCATCCATACAGAAGACTTCCTTAATCTTAAAGATAGCCGTCTTCTGGGATATTGGTAGAAGTTCAGTGACATTTCAGATGTGCTTACTGCCTCTGAAACACTGGTCAGTTTCTACAAGGCACCATGAGTACCTGAATTCTCAATTTAACAATCTTTATTCTGCACTTCGTTCCTCTTGGTCGGCCGACCTTTACGTGGCCGATCCAATTCCGACGTGCATACTGTTGCCAGATATTAAAATGCACATAAAATTCTTTACTTATATTTGAAAAGTATGTATTTTCATTCCAATGCTGCTGGTATATACCTGTTGCACTGTGGTATCCCTGCTGCAACATGCCATAGGCTGGAGAATTGTAGAAACTTGAGCTCTGCATGTACGCCGCAGCTGCCGACGACTGACTGCCATATGCTTGATGCATACTGCTCGCAACAAATAATTGACATTCTTAATTTACTTTAATGATCTTTGAATAATGCTAAAATAAAAAAAACATCTATAAAAATTACAACCAGTAAACAAATACAACTGAGAAAAAATAAATAAAATCATGAACCAAATCATAAATAGAGTTTTAGAATTGACACCGCGGGGTCCGCAGTGGCCGTGCGGTCTGAGGCGTGTGCCTTGTGCCGCTTGGTCGCAGGGACCGTGGGTTCGAATCCCACTCAAGTCATTGTTTTTCTGTGTTGTGCTGTCCTGTGTCCAGGTAGAGGCCGTGCAGTGGAACAATCCCTCATCCAAGGAGTCCTACTAAATATGTATAGATCAAGCCAACGAAAAGTTGGGACCCGCAGTGCTCAGGCACTTAAAGAACGGGTTGTTCCCAGGATCCAGTATAACTCATTGACACTGCTAAAAATTAATGCAGTTCACATGGTACTTTGTTTTGTTTATTTATGATTTATTTAATGAGACTCTAGATCTTTAGCAACAAATGATAGGATGATTAATGAAAACTGTCAGTGGCAGCCATGTTGTAATTTAATCTACTATCCCAGCATTTCTCTGCAGGGACCGTAACCGAGCCAAAGACGGGGAACAGTGGCAAGATCTGTACATCTCGAAACCATTAGGCAGAAGAGGACTGGGTGAATTAAGTAATTTCTGAAACTCTGAATATTACCTGCTGTAATATTGCTGAGTGGATGAGTAGGGGTGTTGCGAATAATCCTTGCTGTCACTGTACGATCCAATCGAGTCTCCTGCCCCCGAGTACAAAGCCTCTGATTGGCTCAGTGATGAGGTGTCACCCAAACCAGGACTGCGAACTTCACTTTTCACTGCTGCAATATAAATAAGGCCCCACTTAATGGTACCTGCACCTTGTCGTGGTGGTGGGGCTTGAGTACCTCAGTGACCCCAAGAGCTACTGGTAGGACCTCCCTAGCCAGATTGGTCGAGGGGGCAGAGGTCAGACTAAGACAGGTACCCTGGTCCTCCAGGTTGGGGGTTGATCGCAAGGCTAACAACCTTGCACCTTAAAAAGGAAGACGTTTCGAAACCTCGATCAAAGCCTCGGACAGACGGACCTAACAGAGGACCGAATGGAAGAGGAGAGGAGGCCATGGACCGGAGAGCCATAGAAGAAGAAGAATATAAATAAGTCATGGGTTCAATGTATGGACGTTAAGAAACAAGGCTCAAAGCAGAACCTCATCCCATACAACATTATTTTATCTGATGGACATATCTTTTACCTGGCAATTACTCAGACTTTGAAAGGTGCTCTTTTATGGGTTATAGAGTTTCACGTCATTGTCGTGACAGTATAGCAAACAGACTCGACCCATCACCCATCCGCTCTGCATACAAGTCACTTGTTCACATCAATAATTTAATTAATATAGAAACTTGAACATTCTCACGATAAGTTCATTTTGATACTGCGAGAAACTTACAACCTTCGGACATTTCTGCGGTATTAATTGTACTTGTAATTGTTCGTGTTGTTTGTGAAAGACACTATTTTTTCAAGACAGGCAACATCCAAGAGGGTTAAAAGTGCCGAGGTGTTCCACTAAGTTGTTACCCAAATTTTAATTTTTATTAGTTCTTTCCCACACAAATTTATTTCTAGAAATCGTAGTCTTCGTTAAGTCATAATCATTTACAGGGCTTACTGTTAACGTCGCCCAGGGACGGCCAGGTGGGCGGACTAGAGAAGGAGCCCGCGGTGACTGGAGAGCTGGTCGGGTCTTGAAGCTGGTGACTGCTGCTGACAACACAACTGGCACTGCTCCTGGTACAGCCATTGCTTAGGCCCCCCGTTGCCGAAACTGATATCGGAGCACATCCTGCCGACAAGATTCACATGGCAATTATGAATAAACTTAACTTCAAATATTTGACAGATTGACTCAGCTGATTGTAGCTTCTTTACTGTCTAGGGCAGTGGTCCCCAACCTTTTTGTGCCTTCGGGCACATTTGAAAGTTTATGAGATCGTGGCGGGCACCAACCGATTAACAAAGCCAAATTTTCTTTTCTCTGGACAAATAAGATATGGACACCAAAGAATACGCAAAACAACACGACGTTTAATGATACAAGAAACCACGCAATCAAAAGTACGTAGTTTTATAATTATAATTATTATTACTCAAGTGGGAAGTTAGTGTGATGTTTGGCGCTGCATTTTATCGGCCAGTTTTTCAAATTTGGGAGTGTAGGATGATGTTGCTGCTCGCAAACAATCGTCAAGATGGGCGTCAGTAAGTCGAGATCTGCGCTTTGATTTTATAATATTCATGGTTGAACGGCCTTTATTATTCAGTATAACCTCTTTCCGTATCAACGCGGGCACCCAAAAAAGCCTTGGCATTCATATACGTTCTTGGCAGATGATCCAGCAGTGGTTTGCCATTGCCTTCTTCTGTGTGTGTGAATGGAGTAATTGTTGGGATGCCACGGAGAAACCGGGGAAGCCTCCGTGTTGCCTAGACCACGGCCTTGCCCAACACAAGTTATAAATTCGGGCACCGCCGGGAATCGAACCCGAGACCCCAGGATTACAAGGCCAGCGTTCTAATTTATAAAAATATTAAAAATATCATATTAATTTCAAGCACAAATCAAAGTAACTCGTTTCTGCATTAAATTGTTTAATTCTCCCATACCTGTACTAGTGGCCACAGCGTCAGGATTTGTGGGTGGTGTTCCACAAGTTGATTCAGATTGGCCACTGCCAGGGCTTGAAGCGTCACCTCCCACAGAAGGGTCTTGAGATCTGCAGAAAATAATGGAAACTAAAAATGAACTGTTTATTATGACATGTTCCCAGCTGCAATTGTAATGACGAGAGGGGACTGCAACCAGACTAGAAATGCATGATACACACTCTAAGCTGACAGACATAAGCTACTTTAGAGGTTAGCTGATTCATGTATATTATGTATTGGTGCAGATTCAATGAATAAAATATTTAACACAGGTAAAACAAAGGAACTGATGACAAGATGTTTATAAATTAAGTAAGAACTTGGAAGCATGAAAAAAAGGAAGTGACCATTGTGTGCACGGTATAATCCAAGGATAGACTTCATGCAAATTATGTAAAACCATGAAGAAAGTTCGGACAGCTAGTCTCCGTGCCGAAACTCGAACCCAGGACCTATCAAATAAGAAGTGACAACCACTGCGGTCTATGGAGAAATTTGGCTGGAAGGTCTACCTCCGCCTTCAAGCCGGGAGCTACTTTTCGACATCCTCGTTGCAACCAGATGAAACATACCGCGAAAGAAGAGATCTGGGCAGGCCACTTGTCAGACAGAACGCTTAACAAACACAAGGTCGAGGGGGCGAGGGGCGAAGTAACACAGCCCTCAGGATTGTCAGAAGCTGGGCGGGCATCTTTCAAAATAAGATCACAGCACCTACACGTTTTGTGCAAGGTATTCAACTGGGGAAATGGTGTTCATCCCAAATTACAGAATGGATTTTGATTAAAATTAGTGTTGGGGCTGACTACAGCGAGTAATTTTTTGTTAACAGCTGTCCAATATAACAGTCCACCTTACACAGACTTAAAATATAACTATTAATTTCCTCAGAAGACGGCTTACTGTTTACAATTTTGGTACTTCGTGTGATAGTCCGTGAAGAGTTCCAAATTGTTTGTTTGTTAATATATCTCTGGCTCTCGTTTTAGTGTCTGTACAAATATGGAGACGCCAAATTCATAACTGGCGTGGGTTTTGAAGGCTTTTGAACGTAGGTGTGCAAGGAACAAGATCAGAGCAAAATACAATTCAATCGTTTGGTTTTTTTTCGCCACTGCGTGGATGAAGTACTGCTCTTTTTCAACTCGACACGTGTAAGTAACAATAACAATACTGACTTGTCTCTAAATTGTTGATTTGTGGAAGAACTTTTTGTTGACGTCTGCTTCATTGTCGATTCGGATAAAGACGGCCTCAAGATACCGGGGTGAGGGGGGTTCTGAGAATACAATGCGTTGAAAAATCAATCAGGGCAGTCAAATTAGAGTGGTACTCCAACTCGGAAGTTGGGTCAACAACTCGTCATATAAAGCTAACAACGAAATCTCTTAAAGGGCCACCTAATTTGACGAATTCTTTCACACAATGCTGTTTTCGCAGCCAGAACACGAGATTTCAGAAGCCTGGAGGGCCGGTTTCTTGAATTTCATCAGAAGGAGATGTAGCAAAAGTATAACAGACTACTTGAAGTACAGAAAACAGGCAATGAAAACCTTCTGGCTCAAAAATACGGAGAGTAAGAATCTGGTCTACAAGCAAATGCTGATAAAACTAAATGTGATAATGTCTCGTCACCAGGCGACAAAATCATCAAACCCTTCTCAAATTCGGCACCAAATTCAAATATATGACGACGGTAACAAATAAGAATCGCATTTACGAAGAAAAGACGCAGAGTAATTTGACAGAAGGCCTGGAGAAGACAGCGGAATGAGAAGCTCCAATTATCATCAGGATGGTCAAATCAGGGAAGAGATGGGCGAGACATGCAGTGTGCACAGGGGAGATCACAAACGAGCAACTTTGATCTGGAATGCATGAAGGGAATAAACCATCTGAAAGACCTATGTAGATGGGAGGATGATATTAAAACGGATCTCAGGGAAACGTCGATAAGGACAGGTGGCGGGAACTTGTGAACACTCCATTATTAAGCCTTCGGGTTCCATAAACGTCTAAGAAACTTTCAGCTAGCTGAGCGTTTATTAGCTTGACGACAAATCGACTCTGCTCAGTAGGGCTAACAGGAGTGCAGGAGCTGAGACGGCTTGTCAGAACATGCAGTCTCGAGTAACGTTCCAGAGAAGCCTGACGCCATGTCTGGCTGGCGAATCATGTTATGGTCAGTCATGCTACGAACAGGACAAGCTGAACCCTGTTGTTCCCCCCCACATCATGGCCGCGGTGACCCAGATGACCCCCGGTAGAGTCAGCACAGCTGTGTTGCACTGCCGCCCACTGGAATGCGAGCAACGGCGTCGGTACAAGAGAGGGGTGTGGGGTGGAGACGAGGTAATGCGCCTAGATCCCTAATACTGTGGAGTCCATGTAGCGAGCTGACGGCTGTACGATGTTCTGAAGTTCGGTATAAGTCGGAGGTGAGCTGTTAGCTTACACTCCGGCCGACTTTACTTCCAGTAAGAGACTCCATACAGCTCACTGGTCCTCACAGCCGGTCCGGAAGTTGAGGAAAAGCTCACGGCAACGTCAACATCGAACTCTGATGATGGTGGGTCCACATTCTCAGGATAAGCAAATTTTGTATTCTTTATAGGAGCTCCAACAATCATATTAATACTTCGTCTCGTGGTCTTCTGCCAACTAAAGACCACGGTTTCATAACCCAGAAGGTCATAAAAGATATATTAATCGCCGTGACATCTGAAATCTACTCTCACAGTGTCCTTTTCCTGTTCTAACAAGGAATCAAATTTGAGATACTGAAATCTTTTGGTTACAGAATTCGGTCGGTTACCCGTAGCCCAATGTGACACGAGCCACACACGCCCGCAGTTTAAGATCGATCACTTCATAAACACTAAAAGACTTGCACAAGGGGGCGAGATCCAAATTTATAAATTCGAGCAGTGTTCCGTTGTTGTTGTTTTTTTTTTTACCGGACGGATTTGTTGACATTCCGGTTTCGACAAAAATTCTTACGCCCCGACGCCGTTTTCGTCCAACATGACTGACAGAAATAACGTCAGCTGAGGAGACTACGTTAAGGATACTGACGATGAAGGTAAACTCTGCAGCATTCAAATGTTTCTGACTGCTTGTTTATTTCTCCTTTCGACACGCAACGCCATTCATAAACTCATATCCGAGCTGCAAGCGCTTTCAAAAACCACGCAACCCACTGTTTATTTTCACTGAAACATAGGGGAAAAAATGTCTGAAAGCGATATGGTTTATGAAAGAAAACAAGTTGATTATGCCGTGTCGGGAAAATCCATAAGGATTCAAGACGCACTGCTACAAACCATTCGTCACGTCACTTCACCGCAGATGTAGACTTCCGTAGCAATCTCCTCCCAATATTCACTGCTGGTATATGTTTCATTCTGAACGACCAACGGCAATTAGCGATATAAATGCGAAATTTTTCATTGACCTTGGAATTAAATTATTGCAAATACCATCGAAACACAGTCAACACAAAGCAGTCGCAGGTTTAGCTCACAACCCTTCATGGTCAGCCTGTCCAGCCTGCTTCGACTCCACTTACAAGGGACGAAAAAATAGCACGTTACCGAAACGTCGTGCGTTCAAACCAGTAGACAAAGGAAAATTCGAGAATACGCATCAGTTTATTGTTCAACCTTCGTCAGAACTATTGACTAAAATTACAGGCGTGCCAGGGATAATTTCCTTATCACAACATGGCTCAGCGCTTTCAACTGTGGTGACTGTAAACACGTTATCGCTGTCATATGAATACGCATGCGCCATCACAATTAGGTGCCTACTGCGTATTTACTATACATCAGACGCCCGCGGACCCAATTGCTGGTACAGCATTCTGACTTACCGAACAAAGTGTCTCCTCTTACATAATCAGTTTTGAGAATCTGAATGGTTTCTTTTCCAACCTGCAAATATTCATATAAAACCGAGATCACAGATGATGAATGCGTAGACATCTGGAAGAATAATGTACTGGCCTGTTTAAAGATCCTGCCCCAACATTCATGTAGACAGAAGAGACACGTTAGGTAACTAGGAAGAGATTCGAACTTGATACATTTCTACTGAAGAGAGTTATATCTGCATGTAAGTAAACACATGGGAAAATAATGCAGATGTATTTCATGGCGTTTGCTGGTAGAATTAAATGAGTCGAAATTATGATGATACTCGCTCCATTTTCCTGTTACTTAGTTCCTCTAACGTCCGCTTGTTCTCCTCAGCACAGCGTTAGGGTACCCTTTAATTTCTTTTCTTTGAGTAAAGGACCAACTTTCACTCCCACATTAAACAAAAATTGAACTTCAAATTCTGTACATTTAAATTGTTAAATTTTCGACACGACACAGAACTATTACAAAATTTGAAATGACAGACGTGGATTGGAGAATAATACTAAAACGTATCTCAGAGAAATAGTTTCTGAAAGGGAGGCCTAGCCTCGAGTAGTTCAGAATGGCGGGCTTTTGTGGTAACAAAATGGCTTTCGGGTCTCAAGAGGGCAGGACATTTATTTACGAGCACAGTTATCAGCATACAAACAAAAAATCTCTGTACAAATAGTTAGTTACACGTTTACTAGTGGAGATATGCATTGTCTAAGGACATGGACTGCGAGTGACGTATGGACATGTCTGCAGCAGCCAACACCAGGCATAGTTATAACCCGATCGCCCACCTTCCTACAACGCCTTCATTATAGTCGAACCCCAGGTCCTCCAGCCAGAAGCCAGGTCCAGGGGTTGATAAACGTCTGAACCATCAACATCAGTAGCACCTCCCATCATCAGGACGCCCAGATGTCGGAGACAGAAAACTTCCACTGAAACGAAGGGTTAATTTCTACCAAGCCAAACTGCACAATATTCCAGAAGACATCATCGCACTCGGTGCCGTGAGATCCTGAAATATCAAATGGCAATGCGTTCAGGAGGTACCCTATTCGGATTCTGATCACAACATCGGCTATCAAAAGAGTGTGTTGGGATTTCTACCGTTCTTCAGTCAGTAATCAGTTTACTCATACACTGCCTACTTTTTC